CACAGACCAGGGGTTTGGCAGACATAAGCTCCACCTAAAACAGATCCCACCACCAGCAAGGGGTGGCTGCGGGCAAGTCACTGAGCTTCTGTGACATAAAGACATCCGAGAGACAAGCAACAGGATTTCTATAGCTTCAAGCATTAAATGTCAACGGTGCTGCAGTTTTCTGACTTACCTCGGAGATATTTCACTTTTAGATACTCTGGGCTGGCCTTCTGACCTGGGAGAGGGTCATTCAGCATAACCTTAGTCTGTGCTTTTATCCCTTCATAAAACTGTCCCATTGCAACATGGCTGAGTCCTTTCATATACTGGCACACCTCGTTATATGGCTCTAGCTGCAGACACCGCTGAGGCATCAAAGGAGAAAAAGCCGTATTAATATTAACACAGTTCAAGAAAATGTTCAAGTGCTTTATTCCTCAGCCTGGGAATAGAGAGGTTTTCCCTATGGATTAAATCACACCAAACATGTGCTCTGTTACTTAGTCTGCAGGACAAGGCAGTGGTTCTTCTCTCTTTTTGATGCCACCCTGCCCCATTCATCGCACTGACCTCGCTGAAGAATAACCCGAGAAGTGAGCGACAGTGAGATGTGGGGGACTCACCTTGAAGTTCTTCAGGGCTTCCTGTAAGCTGCCGTGGTGATAGAGCATCATCCCGCGCAGCTGGAGGGTCTGGACGTGGTTCTGGTTCAGCAGCAGGGCCTTCTGAAAGCTCTCAGTGGCTGCCTCAAAATTGCCCAGTTCCCTAGGGGTTTTAACAATGGTTATGAACACAGCACAGGCAGGCACTTAGCAGACACACACAGGAAGTTAGCCTCCGAATTAAGGTCCAGCCTTGATGTGGGCATTCCCTTGTTAATTTTACCACTTTACAGCTTGTAGCCTTTGACACATCACATCTCATTTACTTTTTCTAAATCTTACTGGATTATAGGTTAACCACGGAGTTCTGGAAATTCTTTGGGGAAAATTAATTTATAGCTTATTCAAATCCCTTTCCCTAATTCATCATGAGCTCCAACCCCTAAAACACTGTGTATACATTTTAGTATTTGGATAGAAACATATGTTTCTCCTTTGGAAAAAAAAGTATGCAGGCTATCATCATACAGAGAGTTAGCAATTCTGAATCAAATTTATAGGCTTAATATTGTGTATTTTTCTGTCATTGAAGCTACTTTACTTAAGGTCTAGTATATTGTTGTATCATTTAAAATTCTGAAAAAAGAAGTTTTTTCCACTTTAGAGTGGAAATGGTTATTACTGACCAACCTTCTTTTATATATTAAAATTTTTACAAATAATAGAAGTACCTTCAAAATATCCCCTGTCCATTTTCTATAAATAAGCTTTAAAAAATGTAATACCTGCTTACATTTACACAGCACTTCATTACTTTACTAGGTGCTTTCAGATCTGCTCTCAACTTATATTCCCAACTACTCCGTGGGACAGGAAGGATAAATATCAACCCTTAAATCGGAAACGAATCCAAACACACTTGCTCTGAGTCAGGATAAGAGAGCTTCTCTAAGTAGTGCATCAAAGAAATAAGTTCTTGGGTCGGCCGAGTGGCACGATGGTTAAGAACTGGCTTGGGATGCCAGAGGACCCAGGTTCGGATCCCACATATGAGGGCCAGTGANGACCCGGGGCCCTCTGGCATCCCAAGCCAGTTCTTAACCATCGTGCCACTCGGCCGGCCCACTTAGTGTTTATTTAAAAGACAGTTTTTTGCTGGGTATAGAATTCTAGGTTGAAAGTTATTTTCTTTCAGCACTTTGAAAATATTACCCCATTATCTTCAAGCAGTCCTTGTTGATTTTGAGAGGTTTATAGTTAGTCCAGTTATTCACCCCAAGTAAGTGACATAACTTTCCTGTTTTTAAGGTTTTCCTCCCTATCTTCAGTGTTCTCCAGTTACCTCCAATATGTCTGGATATGGATTTTTTTTCATTACCCTGATTTTTAAAATATCTGTGGGTTTGTGTTTCCTCACTTCTGGGAAATTCTTAGCCATTATTTCTTCAAAAACTGCCTCTCCTAATTCTCTCCTTCTGAGATTTCAATGAGACATATGCTAGACTTTCTTACATCTTCCACATCTTCTGTCTTTCATATTTTCTATTTAACTCCTTGACTCTCTTCGCTACATTCTGGAGAATTCCTAATGCTCCATTTACCAATTCTGCAATTTTTGCTCAGCTATGTTTGTCTAATCTGCTGTTTAGCTTACATACTGATTCTTTGTTTCAATGATTATTTATTCTATTCCTAAAGCTTCCAATTATTTTTATAATCTGCCTGGTCATTTTTCATAATTTCCTTGTCCATGTTTGTGATTTCTTCACAATTTCTTTAAATATTTCATTTGAAGTTATTTTAGAATCTGTATTCGACAATTCCAATATCTGAAGTCCTTGAGGGTCTCAATCTGTTGTTTATTGTTTCTGTTGATTCTCACACATTTCTTTTTTCACATGTGATTTTGCTAACCTTGATTATTTTTTTAAAAAAATTGGGGAATTGGGGGAGGGAGCAGTGTTGGGGAGTTGGGGAGGGGGACCAGCCAAATTGTTCTTCAATCTTAGTTGTGGAGGGTGCCAGTCGCCATGTGGCTGCCCATCAGCAGCTCGTGGCCTCTAAGCTCAAGGTGCTATGTTACAATCTCAGTTGCAAGTGGGCGTAGCCACCATCCCATGCGGGAGTCGAACCAGCAGCCTTATTGTTAAGAGTGCACACTATATCCACTGAGCCATCCGGGCAGAAGCTCAGCTCAAGGTGCAGAGTTCAGTCTTAGTTGCAGGTGGGCATAGCCCACCATCGAACAGGCAATCTTGTTGTTACACCAGCTGAGCCACCTGCCACCTGTTGATAGCTCAGCAGCAGCTCAGCTCAGGCTCAGTGTCACTGGCTCATGTGGGAATCCAACTGGTGGCCCTGTAGCTCAGAGCTC